GTTTTCCAGTTTTCCCTTCTCTCCATGTCTCCCCTCCAGCCTCCCCCTGCCTTGCTGGGGGTGTCAGGATGCTCCTGTGGACTCTGTCTGGAGCTTGGTTCAGTGCCTTCATAAATCTTCTATAAAATATTCCTGCCGTTCTTTGATTATTTTCCCATTTCATCCACACATGGATTTAAACACAGGCAGGAGCAGGGAGTGGGGTTTTTTTTGGCAAAGTTGAGTTTTAATCAGCTGAAATTCCACAAGGGAGCCCAATATCAGCGCCCGAGGAGTCAGAGCACCGACTGTGGATGCAGCCCCGCCATTCATTAAACATCAAATAACTGCAATTAATTAGGAGGCCAAGGCAGCTCTCAGAGCACCCGGGGCTGATTTTTGGAGTGTTCCTGGAGGCGATTGTGGCTGTCAGTGCTGGAAACCGCCCGGCTCCTGTGAATCATCAGCCCGGGCCCCACCCTGCCCCACACCGCCGGGGTGTTCCTGCCTTTGCTGCTCCCGATCCATTGGCAAACTCGCCCTCATCTTTTCCATGGGCTGCTCGGACAAAGCTGAGCTCCAGGCATGGCTGGGAGAGCCCTCTGAGCTGGGGGATGCCGGCAGAGCTGCCTCCCTCCAGCAATGGGATGCTGGAGGGAAAACCAGACTTGGGGGGAAAAAAGTTAAAAGCAAATAAAAAATAAATTTAAAAAAAAAATCTACTTATGGCTTAAAATGAGGTCTTGGTTTAAGCAGCGGAGTTTTCTGGCTCTGGGGTTGTAAGCAACAATTTTGTTTGTTTAATCTAGGCACTAATAGGAAATGCGTAAATAGCGCTGGTCGCTGATGGCAGCCTCTGTCAGTAAGGACAAAACTGTGGTTTTTTGGCTAAAACAGCCTCTCCCCATGTGCTCCCCCACACCACAGCCTGTCCCAGGCACCGACTCCCCTCACCCACCCTCGGAGACCAATTTGTGGGCACAGCAGAAGCGGCCGAGGATGTTCCAGCTCCTGCCCGATACCATCTCTCGGAGAGCAACAAAAAACTGATAAAGTTGCTAAAACTGCGCCAGTCTCAGCGTCCTGAAGAAAAGAGCAGAAATGCCACTCACCGTGCTGTGCTTGCCATGCTCCGGGGGGGTCATAGCCGTGCTAGGCAGCAGGAGCAGCCAGCGTCCTGCTTTTATTTCCCACTGATTCTCTCAGCAGTCCCAGCGCCTCCTCGTTTAACTTCCACATGCTTTCGGAGCTCTGGAATCCTGCCAGCATCTGCAGCCCGGTCCGGTGGCTGCAGAACAGGAAATCCTGTATTTTCCTTCTCTTCTCTACACCAAACGTGTGCAATTAAATGACGTTAAAGCCTCTGGAAAGGACTGGATGGAGACCTGGGATTTCTGTCCCTGCTGGGCACAGGAGCTGTGGGAGGGGACGGTGCCCTTCCCTCCGGCTGCTCCTGCTCCTCTCCACGGTCACTTTGCCCGGGGAAAGCTGTAAAATACAGAAGCAACCTCCCAATAAGTGCTCGCTGAAGGAAAACCGAGCACTCTGCCAGTGTAAGTTACTGGAAGGGAGTAATTTTCCCTCATTTTCTTGGAAGCTTGGTTAGCCTCAGACTATCAAGGCTGCAGGCTAAAGCTGGAGGGTTTGGACTTTATTCCTGACATAATGTGATGGTTTAAGGTGGAGATTTCCCCAAAATACCGTTGTTTAAAAGCCCCACAATGTGCATAATTCCCAATCTTTTTCTTTAATTCCTTTAATTCCCTTCCTATATATATATGCACATATAGAGAGTTTTTAGCTGTTTTTCTGCCTGCTGAGCATGACCTCCTTTCTGCATGGCCGAAGAAGTGGTGTAACTTCATGGTGTGACTTCTGTGCTGCCTCTTTTCCAGCTGGGCAGTTTTCCCTGATATCCAGGGTCACAGCTCACTGCCCAGGGCTTGTACAGATAATTTGGCTGTTGGCAACTTTCCCTTCCTGGAGGTAACATAAAAATAGAAATATCTTACCCTATATTTTGTAGGTGGTTGTGTGACCTCATAAAATTAACAGGAACAGAGCTGTGGAACAGAAATGAAAGGAGGAAGATCTTATGAACTTGTTACCAGCTCAGGGGCTGGGATCAGGAGTGCACCAGAGCTCTGCCACCCACTCAGCTGACAGGTCTCCTTGTGCCCAGAAATCACAGAATCTGAGAGTGATTTGGACTGGGGACCTTAAAGACCCTCTGATTCCAACCCCCCTGCCATGGCCAGGGACACCTCCCACTATCCCAGGTTGTTCCAACAAGCCTTGGACACTTCCAGGGATGGGGCAGCCCCAGCTTCTCAGGACACCCCAAATCCCATGGTTCTCATCTCAGAGGATTTGGGAGATGCAAGAGCTGTTTGTCATTCCCAGTTTTCTTCCTGTGCATCTCTTCCAGCAGCTGGTGCTGATCCTGGGAAGGAGGAGCAGCGCTCGTGTGTTTGTGGAGCCCTCAGAGAGCACAGGAGGGAGGCTGGCACTGTGCCCTGGTCCTCTCCAGAGGGCAGAGGTTAATCCCAAAGTGAAGGGGTGTTTTATCAGGATATCCTGCCTGGGACATCCTATTTCTGTGTCTGCAGCAGCATATCCAGCCATCCCTGAGCCCTATTTTTAGGTGTTTTTTTTCCAGCTGTGCTGCTGGGGAGGGAAGAGATCTGTGGATGTCAGACCCAAGCGAGGGCTTGGTAACCAAGCTGAGCCCTTCCTCTGCTCCTTGGCTTTTTTGAGAACTTTTCCAGAGGATCACAACATTCCTGGCCATGAAAATTTGAGGGATTGACAAACCTCAGTCCTCATCCTTCCACACACATGGATCAACCTCTCCATCCTTCTTTCAACTTGAGCATGTTTTTGTTTAGCATTTCTGTTTCTCTGGCTCATCCCCAACGTGCCTTTCACACTTGGCAACGTTCTGCTTTCAAAGGAGAAGACACAAAGGAACTTTTAAAATAACTTTTCTAATAACTGTGAGACTTTATCTAAGGCCTCCAGATAAAGGTCTCTTCTCCTGCAGCCTGGTATCCTGTGGGCAGGGGGCCAAACGCAGATGATCAGCATCTCTCAAGTGCTCAGCATTGAGAATATCTGACAGGATGCACCTGAAGGATGTATGAAAAGCAGGGGGAGGAGGAGGTTTGTTCACACAAAGCAGCTTCACCCTTGTGCAGGGAGCTGAGCGGGGCTGGGTGAGCCCCCAGCTCATTGTCCCTCTCGCTGTCACACAGAGTTCTCTGCAGGGACAGCATTTTGGGAAGCTCTGATTCATTTTAAAGCAAATGATTGTCAGTGCCTCCCTTACTTTTTGGGCTAAGCCTTTGTCCAATCCACAAACCCAGCATTTTTGGTTAAAATGTACCAGTCATCCCCGAAATCTTTTAAGTGCGATGAAGTGATTTCATGTTTTTGAACTGTGGGGTTGTTATCCTGCATTTCCAGCTTATTTTATTTTTTCCCTGGGCAGAGAGCTGGTAATTTAATTTAAGGGAAGCAAGAGGTACTGCAAGATTCTGCAGCTCAGAACCTGAAGCTGCAGAAAGGCTTTGAATCCCTCAGGAGTTTTTTCCATGTGTGCTTGCTCTCATGCACAGGAGGATCCTCTCAAGGAGAGGAGGTGCCAGACATCTGCTCCTGCTTAGGATGGGGTGGCACTGCAGAGAAACACATTTGCTTTTGCTAAAAGGTGAATGGCTCATGTTCTAGAGGAAAAGAAATGTGTTTGCCCAGGGCTGTGCCTTGGGGATGGGCCAGTGCAGGTGGCTTGGAGACCTCACCACATCTCCATCCTGAGCAGTTTCCTTCAGGGTGAGATCTCCAACCCCAGGAGTCCTTCAGATCCATCTTTCACACACCTGTGGAGCTGTACCAAACCTCTTGATTTGGTTCAATTCTGCCTTTCTGTGGCATGTCTGTTAAAACACATTTTTTGTGTCTGCCCAAGAAGGAAGAAAAGTATTTTTCTACTCGTGAGTCTGAGCAGCAGGACCAGCACAAGAGATAATCCAGGAGCAACATCATGAAATTATATTTCCTCTTGTCAAAATAATAAACATGTTTTTTGGTCACAGGAAATGGGGTGAATTACAGGAACCTGAGCCAGGCTTGTTGTGCCTCTGATTGTGTGAGGCAAAGCAGCCCCTGCAGCCCAGGTCCTGGGTCAGATCCAGCACCAGCCAGCTGGGAAGGCAGCTGGAATAGTCTCCTCCTCACTGGAATGCCTGTTTTCTTCTCTTGAGATGCACACTGAGGTTTTGGAGGCCTGAACTAAAGGGTTTGGATATCACACACGGGTTTTTGGAGCCCAAATGGATCATCTTGGACTTTCAGAAAACTGCAGGTTTTCCCTGATCTCTGCTCTGAGCTGTTGCTCTCCAGGCTGGCCCATCCTGACTGACTTTGCCTGGTTTAAACCCATCTGGCAGCTGAACCCCAGCCAAAACCAGGGCACTTTCCCCTACACCAGAAGAGACTTTCAGTCAGAGTTATCTGATGCCCTGCACACCACAGGATTGAAAGTGTTGAGTGTGTGCCATTTCCTCACAGGTTGGGGCTGCAGTATGGAAAATAATCCCCTCTGGGGAACCTAAGGGACTTCAGAGGGTGAGTGAGACAGGAAAATGTGGGAAGCTCAGGTGCTTGGGGATGCCATCATGGAGAAGGAGAATGTTATCCCTGATGGAGACACCAAATCCTTGCTAAGGTTATGGGCAGGAGAGCCACTGTCACTCCTGGACACGCAGCAGCTGGAGCAGGTGTTCCCATGCCTTGTCCATCTTCCACTACCTAGGACACCTTCCCATCCTCAAAATACTTCTAAATCTAATAGAAGTATGGTAGATTCAAAAATTAAATAAGTAACCACTATTCAGAGTGAAAACAAGCAACAAATCCATTTAAGAATAATAAAAGTTGTGTTCCTTCTCTTGAACCCTGATCCCAGGAGGAGCTGATCCCACGCAGTTTTCCAGGTACCACTGATAACTACAAAACTCAGCTGATGTTTGCAAAACAGCCTTTATTTATTTTTTTTTCTTTTTGAGCATCAGTTCTTGGGAAGTAAAACCCACAGAAGGAGCTACAGAGTTCCAGTAAGTGGCATCACAAGTGGCTTGTTTTCTCAAGCTGATCAAGGGAGAAGGGTGCGAAAGTGAAGGGACAGGAAACAGCTCCCAGTCACGTGGAGGCTGAGCAAGGTCTATAAAAATCCTCCAAACAAGCACTGAAACTGAACTCTCCTTCTCTGACAGCTTTATACAGAGTGTAGCTTATGAGAGACTGCTAAGTGACAATAATTGAATGGTGTGAGGTCAGCTCTGCCCGTGAGCATCCTCCCCTTTGCAAGGGGACTCCTTGCAGTGTGTAAACATTTATTGTGTCAGTGACATCAGAGAGAACATTTCCATCGACCCCAGTGCATCCTACTCAGCCCAAAATCATCTTCTCACACCTGGGAGGAGAACTATGACAACTTATTGTGTTCAATCAGTGCTGTTGCCTTTTAGAGGGAAATGGTTGTTTAAACCCTGATTCTTGGCTTTCCTCCCCACCCTTTTTTGGTTTTTTATATTTATTTTATAAAACAGAGGAGTGGGAAAACACAATATACAGAAAGCATTTGGCTGAGTTAACATTTTAACTCAGTGGAATTGAATGGTTGGAGTTAAAATGTGCATAGCAAGTGTTTCTGGTATTTCTTCTGGTTTTGTAGCAACTGTTGCAAGACTGTACAAATTGTTCACATTCTTTTGAAAATATACTGATTTCCAAAGGCAATAAACTGGTGACTGTTCAGCCAAATCCATCCCCAGGTATCACAAGATACCCTTGAAGTTACAGAGTGGGTGGACTTGGCTGAAGAGGTGTAACTAATTAAAAAGAAGGGGTAAATTAATCCTTCCTTGTCCCTGCTTTGCATAGCTCTAAGAATGTAAACATTAGGATCACGACAGGACCTGGTGGAAAAAAAAACCACAATAGTTTATGACCTTAACTTCTGGTCTGTCAGTGAAATCACCTTGGCAAGGACTCCTCTCTTTTTTAAAAGATGCATCAACGGAACAGGTTGAGCAGAGCTTTTCTGGGGCAGATTCATCTCAGGCACCTCTGGACTGCACACAGAAGGGAGTGAGAACCTGAGTGGTACCACCAGCACCATCAAACCCACCTGCACTGACCCCAGGACCACCATGGTCCTGCCCCAAGGGGTCCAAAGGCAAAAGCCACCTGCCCATGTCCACCTTGCCAGCTTGGAGGGGAATAAAGTCACCTGGAGCAAGGGAAGGTGCCACTCTCTGGATGTTTGAGGAGAATTTGTCTTGCACAGGGTCTTGCACCAGCTGCAGGTGCAAGTTCTGGGATGTGTCAGCAATTAGGGAGCAAACAGAGGTGGGTGAGGAGGGAAAGGAGGAGCAGAGCAGGAGGGTGAGTGTGGAAAGGGGGAACAGAGGTCATTGGTGACCAGTGGGATGCACCAAACCCAGGAGCATATGGAAAACACCTTCACCTGTCCACAGCCCCCACTGCACAAATCACAAAGTCCTTTGGTTGCTACTGGCCAGTTTTAGGTTCTTGTGTGGTTTTCCCAGAGAAGATCCTTCAGCAGATGTCAGTGTATAAATGTGGGATTGTCTCTGGCTGGATCACAGAGCCTGCAACTGGGAAAATAGAAGGAAAGCCTGGGACTTTTCCACCATTTCCCAGTAAAAGCTTTTTCACTCCCTCCTGTGTATTTTCTAGTCCAGTGAGGTCAGGTGAGGGTGGCACAGGGAGTGGGACAGTCACATCAGTTGGGTCACTCACCAGATTCCAACACACCAGTCTTAGACAAGGTTTTATCTTCTATATACTGAAAAAAAATCCACTGCCACAAAACTCCCTTGGACAAACCTGCAGGATCTTCCACAACAGAGTTGGTAATGGACTATCCCAGAGCAGTCTCAGATTTCACATTAAATACTTTAGTTTCTTCCAAGTGGCTTCCTTGTCATTCCTTCATGGACGAGGCGCTCTCTTTGCTCATGAGCCGGCTCCGGATGGCCATGCTGCTGTGCCTGGAAATCTGTTCCTGGAACTCTGAAGTCATGAAGAAATAGATGATGGGATCCAAGCAGCAGTCGAAGCTGGCGAGGCTCAGGCAGAAGGGCTGGGTGTAGAGTGTGATGGTGCTCAGGAAGCAGTCGGTGATGACATTCTCCTTCACCAACATGTAGAAGAAGAAGTTGATGTGGTAGGGAGCAAAACACACACAGAACACAATGGCACACATGGAAACCATCCTGAGGGCCTTCCTCCTCTCCCCGCTGTTTTCCTCCGGGGTATGGAAGCCCCGGATGGAGTCTCTTGTTTTCCATGTGCAGAATAAGATGATGACGAGCGGGCCCACGAAGCCCAGGAGCTCGGCGGCGCCGGTCATCAGCACCGTGCCCACCTTGCTGTCGATCGGCTTCACCTGCAGGTCTGCAAAGCAGCTGGTGGTGTTGGCACCCAGCCCGTGGCTCCTCATGATGGGGAAGGGCACGCAGAGGGCCCCCACGACCAGCCAGACCAGGGCGCTGATGGCCACGTCGTAGCGGCGCTTCCAGCCCTTGGCTCGGAAGGGGTGGTACAGGAAGAAGTAGCGCTGGATGCTGATGCAGGTGAGGAAGCAGATGCTGGCGTACATGTTGAGGTACTTCAGGTAGAAGCAGAGCAAGCACAGGACATCCCCGAAGGGCCAGGTGTGGTTGATGTAGTAGTAGATGCGCAGGGGCAGGGAGAGGACGTGGGCCAGGTCGGCCACGGCCAGGTTGATCATGAAGATGACGGCTTTGCTCTTCCTGCTGAGGAAGCGGCACAGGACCCACAGGGCAGCGCTGTTGGCCAGGAGCCCCGGGATGAAGATGAGGGTGTAGGTGGTGGCGTAGAGGCTGCTCTTGAAGGTGATGTCCTGGTGGGAGCAGCTCTGGTTGCTCTGGCTCATGACTGGGTTGCTGGAAGAGGCTGTGGTGGTGTAGGGTGGGTGGGTCATTCCTGTGGAGACAAAACGGGATGTGAAGGCAAAGGCTCTGCAAGAGTTGTCAGTGCTCATGTCTGCATTTCCCATTTGGCTGTTCAGTACAAAGCAGAGGTTTGGGAATGCTGTCTGCATGAAACATCCTGGAATCGTGTTCAGAGCTGCCCTGTCAGAGATCCCACTGTTCCCTCAGGCGTGGGAGACCATTCCTGGTGTGTCAGTCCCAGGAGCACAGTGAAGTGGTACCACACTGATCACAGAGCAGCAGGAGAAGCTGCCCATCCTCTGGCCATCTCCTCAAGGTCTGCTGTGGTTTGGTCTTTGGGAGCAAGGCAGGAATACATGGATGAAAGGTGGATATATCCCAGCCTCCATCATGGCCATGGCCCAGCGCTCAGAGTGTGGGTGCCAAGCACTGAATCATGGAATGGTTTGGGTTGGAAAGGACCTTCAAGCCCATCCAGTGCCACCCCCTGCCATGGGCAGGGACACCTTCCACTATCCCAGGCTGCTCCAAGCCCCATCCAACCTGGCCTTGAGACTTCCAGGGATATGTTGGGCTGTGTTGGGCATTATGTGGGGAACAGGCCTCCAAGTCCCTCAGAGGACCTCATGGACCCACTTTCTCTGGCATTACGGGCACAAATCACATGCAGAAGGGTAGCAGGGAGCGGACTTGGAAAATGTGACTGTTGTGAACACAGCCAGTGCTGCTGAAGTGTTCTGTTAATGTATTTAAGCTGATGGAACACACAGAGACCTGGTCACGCCACCAACTTCTATTTCTCATCACCATGGCAGTCTCAGTCTGACTCTTTTTTCCGTCAGATAATTTTACTTTTTAGGTACTGCCAATTTCTGCCTCTCATCCGTCAGCAAAATGCCACGTGTTGAGCTGTTGGGCCACTTTTCTCTTGCCAGCTTTTGTAACCAGGACCAGTAAGTTTGGTAACTCATCCTCAGCAAGGCAACACAGGCAGGAGTTGGGGTTTATTGGGGGTTTCCTCCCAGGGTTATAATTCTTGTTACAGTGATTCCCTCCCATATTGAATATAACGGTTGAAAATCAGCTTCATATGGCACTGCAGACACTGATTCACTCCTCTGACTCATTTCCTGCGACAGGCATTTGCCAGAAAAACTGTCTCTGTAGGTAGAAATTAGTAACTCCTACTCTGTTACTGAAGCTTTTTCCTTCGTGTTACCAAAAGAGTTGAGTTCAGAGCTCTCCCTGACACACAGCACAAATTGCTGGGTTTCCAGCCTCTTAATCATTGTGGTGCTTACATTTGGCAGCCCATCCAGACTCTGTCCAGGCTGCCAGGGAAGGGTTGGGATTCAGCCCCCAAAATGCCCAGACATGGCAAGGTCCCACATGGGGCATGGGCAGAGAGCAGGGTCTTGTAACCCTGAACAGATTCTTGCATTTCTTTCTCAGCTTTTCTCTCACATTCCCACATCCTTCAAGAAGCTAGGTCTGTGTGTGTATCTCCTAAAACCTCAGCAGCTCCAGCTGCTCCGAGCATCAGGGAAGTGCTGCCTTTGGGAAGCTCTCTGCCTCATCCCCTTCCCTCAGCAGGATGCTGCATCCCAGGCCCTCAGAGCTGCTTTTGTCCCTCCAGCTCCATCCCAGCCACAGCTCTGGGACAGGATGCTCTGCCCCCTGTTCCCCCACCTCATGCTCCTGCCATGAGGCCAAAACAGGCCCAGGAGGAGGGAAGAGGCTCAAAGTGTGACAGAAACACAAAAGATTCATCTGGCTCATGGATTTACCTCCCCTGAGAAGCAGCAATGGAGGCCTCCTGCTCTCCATCTGGGAGTTGCCAGGACAGGGATTGAACAGGGGCTGAGCATGGGCTGTTCCTGCTCTCAGTGTGGGAAATGTGGGTTACACCCCATTTCCTGGGAGAGCTGTGAATTTCTGCTGCTCAGGAGGTTTCATCCCTTTCCAGCTGCTGTCCATGGCCTTGCCTCTGGAAAAAATACACCCACTGCACCTTCTGTCCCTTCAGGTCACCTCTCCCTTTGCCAAGAAACCATTTTCCAAATCCTCACATGCCTGGTTTTCCTTGGATATCAAAGCTGGAAGGTCTGGCCTGTTTCTTTGCCAAGAAACCATTTTCCAAGTCCTCACATGCCTGGTTTTCCTTGGATATCAAAGCTGGAAGGTCTGGCCTGCAGCTCCTCCAGACACAGCTGGTGGGTGGCCATTAAAACCACACAGGATGAGGTACAACTGCAAAATGTTGTATTTTAGAGACACTTTTATAATTGATTATCTAATTAAATGCTGTGCTTGTTCTTCAGTCCAATGAGTGACAGCAGCCAATTTGCTTGTCAAGGTTCTTAAACACAGCTAGGCCTTATTTAGTCCCTTCTGACCCAGAATATTCTGTGATTCTGTGACTTAGATCTCATGTGACACTAAGAGCAGTTGGGGTGATGGGGTGAAGGTCTGCTGACTCAAACTGGGCTCTGAGCAGAGGGTTTAGGGCAAACTCTGTGTCCAGCATGTGTCCCTGGAACACGAGGGTGATGCTGAGGGCACACACCCCATCCCAGAGCTCAGCTTGGCTTCCTGGTGGGACAAACCCTGCCCAGAGCGTGGAGAGCTTCCCCCTCATCTGTCACCTCCCTCCGCTCATTGTCCACAAGGGGTCAGAGTTCATCCAAATCTCATTTTGTGGCTTCTTTAAGCTATTTTTCTCACGCCAAGTGCTGTCTGAGTGGCAGCAATGGGACTCTCATGAGTCCACTTTGCCATCATTTAGGAGGAACCCAAACTGAAAATATCCAGTGTTGCTGAATAACTGATAGTAGTGAAAATATTACTCCCAGGAGTGGGCCTGGTTGCTGGTAAATTTTCTGATGATCTTTAAAGGTCTTTTCCAACCTAAATGATTCTATGATTCAATTTGCAGGTAGAAGAATCCTGAAAAGCTGCACTTTGGTGGAGATCACGGAGCTGTGGTGAACCTTAGAGCCAGGAGGTTCCAAAACCCATCCTGCAGGTGATGTCCCAGCCCCACCACCCCAGCAGATCTAACTCAGAGCCTGGGAACAGGGGGTGGATGCCCTGGAGTCAGAAAATCCCTCTCTGCATTAGGGAACTCAGTCTGAGCAGGGTGACCTGGCTGGCAGTGCACACAATTAATACATGACCACAATTAATATGCATGGGGTGGTGTCTGCTGGCTCATCAGCAGGGCCTTTCTGAGAATTACGAATTTCATTGCAAAACCACAAAAACATAATGAAATTATTCATCTCCTTAATAAAAAGGCACCCAGACATGCACAGTGCACCACAAAATTACTGCATTTCCGCCTTTCCTCTCACTTGGGCTCAGACTGAGACTAAATCCCACAGCAACCCCTTCTCTTCCCACTTGTGCACAAAAGAAGATGCTTGAGATACCACTGAGGGTCCTAAAATTACATCTCCAAAGTCCTTCACTGCGTGGTGGGTGTGAGCAGGGGCTGCAGAAAACTGAAATCTCCAGTGGATTTCATCAGTGCTCATTCACATCCTGCAGAGAGGTGGCTCTCTCTGCAACATTGCTTTCAGAATATGAATTTTTTTAAAAAAACAGTAACAAATAAACACACTGAGATCCAACCACTCTTTTTATATTTTTGTGAGATTCTGCATCCCTGATGCTGTTGCAATAGGGATATAAGAAGCGAGCATGTTATTACTGGAGCTTTGGAAACTAAACATAGCATTCCTAGGCAAAAGATGTTCATCTGGATAGGCTGAGAAGCACAGGGATATCATTCCAGAGCCCTGGATCTGTCTGAAGTGCCCATCAGAGCCAGGTTAATTGATTGGATTGGGGCACAAACATCTCCACACTCTGCCCTCAGTGCACGGCCGTGACCCTGAAGTGAAACCTCTGCGCTCGGAGTGGAACATTTTACAGTTAAAGGTGCTTTTTGGGGTTCTCTTTCACAGAAAAAGAGCAGGTCTGGGCTGTCTGCTGTATTTTCATTTTGCAGCATTGGCAGAACTCCTTCCTGCAGCTCCAGCAGAGACAGCAACAGCCCCCTCAGGGCTCCGGCTCCAGGCTGGGCAAGGGCTGTCCCACGGATGCACTTCCCTCGTGGATGGAATTCCCACGGCTGATGATGCTGCACCAGGGCCAAAGTCCCTGCATTTTCAGTTGACACCAAAAATATGTCCTTGAAAAGAACCCCACTGTCCCTGCACAGCTCCTGCCCCAGCCTGCTGAGGAATCCCCTCATCCTCACATCCTGACTCACCTTCTGCGAGATTCCCTCTTGATCCACCTGCAGAAATCCTGGATTCAGGGTCCACCCACTCTAAATCCTGTCTGTGAGCACCCCACGGGCTGTTTGCTGGGCTCCCAGCAGAGCTGAGCTGAGCTGAGCTGCTGGTGCAAGTGAAAGCAAAGCCAGCAGAAAAGCACCTTTTACAAAGTACAGCTGGAAGCCTGCAGACCATGAAGTCAAGTTTAAAACTTTCAGCCCATGAAGTTTAAAACCTTCAACCCATGAAGTTTAAAACCTTCAGCCCATAAAGTCAAGTTTTAATCCAGACTACAGCCTGAATTAGGAATTAAAACCACCTCAGGATTCTCATTAGCAAAAACAAGTCCAAGCAATCCTGCTATTTTTGTCATTCTGTGTCCCCTCACTATTATCAATTTCCTCCTGTTGCTGCTCACTCACAGAGCCTCAGATGGCACAAAGATGGGCAGCACATGGATTTTTATTTTATGGCAATATAAATCCCCATTGGAAAAAAAAAACCAGATTTGCATTTTACCCTTACTGTCAAGTATGACTTTAAAATAAAATACATTCCCGGAGGAATCAGGCAAGAGACAGAAATTATCCCTGTTAATGACACTGGAGAACAGTTGGAGCAGTGCTAATTGCCCACGCCTGACATTTGTTTTTGCAGGCGCAGCAGCCGCTGTTTGAACTCCTCCATGAGTTCACCCAGAGCATTGGCACACACGGAGAGCAGCGGCTGCTGCTGCTGCTGCAGGGCTCCAGGTGCCACAAAGCTGCTCCTGGCAAGAGCCACCTGCTAAGGAAGAGCCTGAGGAAAGAAAGCAGGAAGCAGCAGGGTTCTAGATCCCAAGGAGAGGGTTTAGAGCAGCCTTACCTTGGCAGGCAGAGCCGAGCTCAGCGCAGCAGAGTGCTCAGGAGGAAGTGGAACGTCCCCTGCACCACTGTTTACACGAGCGAGGGGACCTGGGTGACATCACGAGGTGCCACAAAAGGTGCAGCTTTTGCTGCTGCTCGCTTTTGCTCCAGCCCTGCTCCCAGCCCTGCCAGCTCAGTCCTGGTCAGCTGTCCCCACAATGACCCCAGAATGGGGTTACGTGCCTTTGTCCCAGGTGTTTTCTGTCCTGTGGCTCTGCTGGGCTGGCTTGGCACCCACTGGGAAGATTCCAAGTGGAGTTGGGCACAGGGCACCCCTTCCTCCCCTCCAACTCTTCTTCCCTTCCAACTCTTCTTCCCCTCCAACTCTTCCTCCCCTCCAGCTCTTCCTCCTCTCCAAGCACAGCTCTGAGCAGACCATGGAAACGCTCCCAAGGTTTCTGCCCTCCTGCCTGGCAGCTCAGCCCTGCTGTCCCCTCCTGCCCCTGGGGCTGAGGACCTGCTGGGTGCTCTGCTCCAGCTCAGTCCTCCTGCAGATGAGCTCTGACTTCCCAATGGCTTTTTTTAGCACAGTGTGAGCCTTGCCTGACATTTCTCCTGAACTAAATAAGTCCCCAGCTCGGTTTACACTCATTGGATCTCCCCGCCAAGGGTGGCACTTCTGACATTGCTTCAAGGAATGGGCACAGATCCAGCCTCACTTTATCCCAGGGGATAAATACAGGGCTGGGGCTACAGCTTTACCCTCTCGGAGGATCTCACTGTTTGGAGTTTCAGAAAGCCACCAGGAATCTGCCCTGCTTTGCCTCGCTGGGATCTGGCTCTCAGCACTCCACTGTCACCAGCTGAACTCTGCTGTGGTCTGAGAGTGTGAAATCAAACTTCACAGCAGCTCCTACCTGACATGGGGACAATGTAAGTGCTGATGTCTGACAGCTCAGAAACCTCAGAAACCCAAAACTGATGGCTCATCCAGGTAATTCCACATGAGCACCCCCTGAAGTGGGTGCTGTGCTTTCTAGACAGTCTCGCTTCCTCACTTGTCAAAGGAGGTTGGTAGAAGCTGGGAGCTTGCCAGGTGTTTATTTTAAAATTATTTATTTGGACCCCGTGAAAAGCAATAGTGAGGTTTTGGCCAGTGCTGCAGTGTTTATCAGCACATCCTGTTTAGCTGATTTTTTTTTTCCCCTCAGCAATGGAAACATATTTGTTGGAATTTATCCAATCACAAAATTGTCTTTCACATGAAATCACTGCACTCTGCAGCCTGGCAAGCTGAGAATTTGGGAACAGCAGTTCCCTGACTGACCCCACCAGCATCTGAGGAATACAAATATTCAGAGAATCTCAGAATCATGGAATGGTTTGGAAGGGAAAGGACTTTAAAGCTTATCTTGTTCCACCCCCTGCCATGGCAGGGACACCTTCCACTATCCCAGGCTGCTCCAAGCCTTGTCCAACCTGGCCTGGGGCACTGCCAGGGATGCAGGGGCAGCCACAGCTGCTCTGGGATCCTGTGCCAGGGTCTCCCTACTGTCATTATCAGCACTTCTGCAGATGCTCTTCTCTGCAGGAATCTCCATCTAGGACAGGCTTGATTGATCTGAGCAAAAGCCACAACCCATGTGAAAAAAGGAGAGGGAAAAAATGCAGCTGCTGTTCCTGCCTTTCCCCATGGCCATAAATTGCTCTGGTTTGGGGCAGGTTGTTGCATGAGAGTTTTGGGACCATGTAGGAAATTTTAAAGTGCAACTCATTGCACCTGCAGAATGTACTGCTGAATTTCTTCTTCCTTAAAGTATAGTTGCAGAGGATCTGAGCCCTGTTTACTGGGGTGGTTTATCAGTTATCCTGCAGACAAGGGCTCAGGAAGTGGCTTTTTCTGCTGATAAACCAGAACTGCCTGGAGATTTTGCAGACAGTTATGTTGGGTCTGATGGAATTTCCCTAAAGGGTCTTTGCCTTTATTCTGAGGGTAAAACTTTGGTTTGTGCAGCGTAAAGGCTGTTCCTCCTCTTGGTTATGACTTCCCAGAAATATTCATTACCATAATTACCTGGATTAAAGGAGAGCTTGGATCCTGCAAGGCCACCTGGACTTCAGTATCATCATCATGTGACAGATAATTGAGCAATACCATGGTTTTTAACCCAAAAAAATAGCTCCATCTTTGCCTGTTTGCTGTTCAGAAGCTGGGTTTGATGTACAACAATCCCAAATGGAAGTTTCCATGCCTTTTCCATGCTTCTCTTTCCTTTCCAAGTTTCTTTCCCAAATCCAAAATTAAGTGGCTGCTCTGTGGCTTTTTTGTGCTTTAGTCCATAGAACTGTAACTGGTTTTTTAGAGGTTTTCCACATCTATAAGGGGAGAAATCAAATAAGGGAAAAACCCCCCCATAAAACAGATTACAGCCTTCAGTGGGAACCAGAGGAAAAGCAGCTGCATTTCTAAATTATTATTGAGATAGGTATGTAATTTATGAAAATATATTATTTAGTATGTAGAAAACATCAATATAGTACATCATGTAGTATTATTAATACAGCAATATTCATAATAATGCATAATTATTTAAATTTTCCTAAAATCACAGAAACCCAGGATGTTTGGAAGGGAAGTGACCTCAAAGTCAATGCAGCTCCACCCCATTCCATGGGCAGGGACAGCTTCCACTAGTCCAGGTTGCTCCAAGCCCCTCAACTCCACCCCATTCCATGGACAGGGACAGCTTCCACTAGTCCAGGTTGCTCCAAGCCCCATCCAACCTGGCTTTGGACACTTCCAAGGATGGGGCATCCAATAAATAATAATAATAATAGATGGAGCAGCCAATAAATAACATCAAGATTTAGATTTCATGCCAATTTTTTTTTTTTTTGCTATCAAGTCAAGCCTTTGGAGTGTAGAAAAGCAGACATTCAACAAAAGATCACACCAAGAAATTTATCTAACTTTGGTCAAAAGCTGTACTCTGACAAGGAGAAAATCAATAATTGCATCCTGATTCAGTGATTCTTCCTATAGGGAATATAAAGTATTATTTAAAGGTGAATAAAATGTATATGTGGAGGTTAAATTACATAACGGTGTTGTTTACTTTAATATATCAGATAACAGAAAGAGGAACAGAGAATGACAAACATTTCAAAATTCTTCCCTTTTATTTCTGTTTTTTTCCTCAAACTGTTAACAATTTTTTTTCTTGCAACAAAGAGGAGCAGGAGGCACATGGAAAAAGTCAGAACGGGCTGTTCTGGGAGAAATAACTTCTAATTACCTGCATTTTCTGGCCACTGAAATATCATTGCTCATTAGTGCCTCTCTCTGTGCTGTTACAGAGCTTCAATTGCACCGCGTCGTTAACGATTTCCTCTGCCCCCAGTACAGACACACACGTTCCTCCTGTCCAAAAGAGAGGCCGATTCTGTTCCAAAGAAATGGATTTTTAATTCAAACCAGCTCTTTTCCTAACAGAGCTGCCCGGTAGCTGTGTCTCAGCCCATCCCATGTCCCACGACAGCCGTTCCCTCCCGTGGGCGCTGGGAATGGGGATAAGGAACGAGCTGAAAACAGCAAAGGTTTCTACAGGAACCAAAATATTCCCCCCTGACAGCAGAAAGAGAAAGGAGATCTTGGAATGCCGGTGGCCAAACCCTTGGAAGGTCGCCCTGGGTTTTATTCAGAGAAGCTGGGATCCCTGGAGCTGGAGGGGAGGCTGAGGAGCTTTTCCAGTGGGAGAGCCAGGGTTTGGCAGTGCTGGCCACAAGGATTTGCCCATCAGAACCATTGCTCTTTGTCAGAGTCATTTACTTCCTAAATTCTGGGTTTTTAGCAGAAACTGAAAAGGAGAAAATGTGTCTTCCCCTCTAACCAACCAGAGCCTCTGAGAAGTATTTTCCATGCAGCTGATGCTAAAAATAATAATTGGTTTTCTTTGCTGAAACTTCTCCTTCATCCCTTGCAGCTCAGAATCCCTTGACAGACAGATTCCAGCCGCCTTTTTGGAGGGGATAAATGAAAATTTTGAGGGAGAGGGACCTGGGGAGGAAGATGAACTCTTAGTTTTGCCTGTGGTAGTCTTAATTTCTTTGCCCAGTTTAATTTCTTTACAAAAGTTGTGTTCCCAAGGGGGTCTTTGTAGTGGTGAGTTCCCCTAGAGCAGCTGCCACAAGCTGGCACATGAAATTCCTCTTCCTTACATGCACAGGGAATTGAGCTCACTGTTTGTGTTCCTTCTGGAGCTTTATGCCAAAGACAGTGCTCTCGTTTTCCTGGGGGAGAATCATCAGCACAATCTGGTGAGGTACAGCTAAGTGTAAAGGTTATAATTTGTGAATTTAGAGCTCCCAGCAAAAAGAACTACTTGTTTTGGAACATCAGCCTCAGGGAACCAACTCAGCCTGGAAGTATCTCCTGGACTTCTGTCACCTCTGGCCCACAGGTGACTCACCCCTCTGCAGAGGCAGGACAAGTCTGAGAGTCGTGGTGTGAGCTTGGACACATCCCAAACCATCCTGGGATTCCATGATCCGAAAGCCAGTGTCCCAAATATTGTCTGTGACACTGGTGCAGCCTCCCCATGAGGCTGCGAAGAGAAGGGTGAGAATTTTCATGAGAACTGGAAGGCAAACCCAATTAACTCCGTGGGGAATTCCCGAGACCGGAAAATCCCCTCCCAACAAATATGATCAACCCCAGTCATGTTCTTAATCACATTTTCTTCATGAGGCTCTGCTTCCCCTTTCACTTCGTATGGAAACACCACCAAAGACTCCAGCAAAGATAGAACTTGTTTGCATTTAAAATTAGGAGACTTTTAGATGAGATACTGGGGAGAAATCCTTCCCTGTGAGGGTGGGCAGGCCCTGCCCAGAGAAGCTGTGGCTGCCCCAGCCCTGGAGGTGTCCAAGGCCAGGTTGGACTCATTCTTGGCAGGTTTTTCATGGAATTACAAGACTATTTGGGCTGGAGGAGACCTTAAATCTCATCTCATTCCAACCCCCTGCCATGAGCAGGGACACCTTCCAGGTGTCCACCTAGACTAGGTTGCTCAAATCCCTGTCCAACCTGGATTTGGAAGCAGTCAGGTGCCATGCAGGACACGTGTGGGGTGTGTTACAAACATGAACACAGGCTTAGGCCTGGGCCTATGATATAAATCTGGTCAGAGAAAAAAATTAATTCTGCACCATCCACAGCTGGCAGCAAGAAATCAACAGCAGCAGTTGTGTCTCAAGTCTGCTCTGGGTGCTCCTGGCTGGGGAGGGACTCCAAGGAAAATGATTCCTGGGAGAAAACAGCCTCATGAAACTTTTTATCATTTCAATAAGATTAGAAAGACTGGCAGCACGTACAAATCACAACAGCTAGGGCCCACATTTCACTGGCTGATTGGAATAATGAAAAGCCACGAGATGGCTTTGCTCTATCTCTGCTTCCCAGGATTCTAAATGAGCAGGACAAAGTCCTGGGAGCTGGTTTGACTTCCTTGCCCAACAGCAGAGGTGCACTGCTGCGT